ATAAGGGAAGGGAAACAAAAATAATATAAAAACACGGAGGGGGACAAAACAGAAGAGATTAATAAATATGGAGAACAAACTGATGGTTACTAGAGGGGTTGTGAGAGGGAGGAATGGGCTAAATGGGTAAGGGGCATGAAGGAATCTACTCCTGAAATCATTGTTGCACTATATGCTAACTTGGATGTAAATTAAAAAGATAAATTACAAACAAACAAATAAGAACTGGAAATTCAAAAGCAAAAAAGAAAAAATAAAGAAAAAAATAAAGAACATGATACAGGCAAACAACTACAGTTGGCAATTTGCTCGTTCGTTTGGTTGATGTGGACTCTTTTACCCCTTAGGTGATGATCACAACTTCTCAGATGTATTGCTCCTTGATGCATACAGTTCCAACCCCCAAAACCAGTATCTAATTCAGATCTGAGAGACTGACATAGGAACATCTTGTAATTCCTTATCCGAGTACCTTGACTTGAAACTAAAGAAAAATACATTTTAAAAAAACACCCAATCATTTCAAATATTTCACATTTTTCTGATGTGTACTCTAACCTGCATAATTTACTTTTGAGGATTCCATTTCCAAAGTTGCATATGACATCACCAATATCCTTCCTTCAACCTGTCTCCCTTCAGTGACATCACTTTTCTCCAGCAAACCTTCAACTCAGACCCCACCACTCCACTCCACCACTCCACCCTACCACATGCTTTTCTGTCAAATACTTTTGGGATGTTAAATCCCTGACTAGATATAGGAAGAAAAGGGAAAGTTGAAAGGAAGGGAGAAATACAGCACTTACTAATAGCGCTCAAGAAAACAAAGGTTGTGGCTCACTTTCTGGTTTATCACTCCATAATTTTTTTTTCTTTTTTCAACAGATATTTATTAAGTTCCTCTATATGCCAGAGACAGAGCTAGAGAGTGGATATATAGTGGTAACAAAGACCAAACAAACAAATAAATAAATCTATGATCTTTGTATTCATGAACCTCACAGTCTAGGGAGATAAATGTGAATAATCAACATTCATTTTTCTATTTCTCTGGCTTTCTCGTTAAAGATAAGTTGTGGTAAATATGATGAAGGGAAGATATGAAGTACCTTCAGGAAATTGAGTATTATATAGATAGTAGTTCAGAGGATTATTCTCTGGGTAAATAACATTTAAACTGAGGACTGAAGAGTGAAAGGGAATTAAACATGTGACGAATATATATGTGATTGCCAGGGGAAGGCAAGTTGGTGAGCAGGAAGAGGAAACACAGCCTGCCAATGTCCTGATAGAAAAGAACCTGGCACAGATCTCATGTGTGTGGAACAGAAACTGTGCAGTGAAGGAGATATGAGCCATGGCTTTCCCTCTAAGTGAACCTGATGCACATTGGTGCCCATCCTTTCTATTGTTTAATTTTGTGGCTTCTATTTCTACTGACAGATTGTAGGGTTTTTTTTCTTTTTAATGTTATTGATGAATTTTCAATCTGTAACCACATATTTTTAAGTATTTTTGTTGGCAGTAAGAGTTTGCAGCAGAGTTTGCTAACCAGCTGACATTTTAAGAATCTGTCAAGTGGTCAAACAATTCCCAAACAGCAGCACAGTGGTAACAGGACCACAAGTATGAGTACTGAAGTCGCTAGGTTGTCCTGCCACCTTTCCATAGATTTGACCAGTAAGGAGTCAACGATCTCAAACAGATTCAGTTTACAACTTATGCAAAAGCAAAGTAAGATCAGCATGGTGCTACCTCCCCATATTATATGCTTAAACCAGAAGCGTCATATGACAGATGACGTAGGTAAAGGGTCACCTTGCTATTAGGGAGCAGCCTCTAAACCCCAATTACTTACATGGAAGCCTGAAGTTGTACTCCTGAGGTGAGTTGGAAAGTCCTGTGCTCAACTGAAACTAGGGCGATGGATGGGAATCAGATTTCTGATAGTCTTCCACAAGATTGGGATAAGAAACTGCCTCTTGGCAACTTCTAACAAAACTTACCTCTCCTTGCTCCAAAAGGAGCCACAGGACCCTCTAGCAAGACGTGGATTAGACTACGGTCAAGGTTGGCCACAGAGCATATGTGAAGTCACATAAGATCACCAGGGCATCAGGGAAGAGCTGTTTCTCTGTAGAATCCCCAATCTATTTTTAATGCTGCCCTAAAATGTGTCCTTGAGTTTTTTATAATAATCAAAAGAAGTCTACAGAAATGACTTAGAGAAAAATAGTGCAAACTAATATTATACCAGAGTAAAATGTCCACTTCCTCTTTCTACAAATAAGCATACAAAAGAGGCATTTGCCGTTTGTTATTTATGGTGATTGATATGGATCTCTGTCCTCTTATTAGGGAGATAGGAATAATGCCTAAATAATTTTAAGGCCATAGAGTAAGTAATTATAGAAGTTTCATACAATATTTATAGCCCAAAGGAAAGAGTCCTTAGCCCTGCTAGAGGGACTCAGGAAAGGCTTCCAGAAAAACATGACTGGAGAATAGACAAATAGATCAAACAGTAGAATAGACAACCCAGAAAGAGACCCACATAATATAGACACTTGATTTATGCACAAGTTAGCACTTTAGAGAAAGAATGTTCTTTTAAAAAATGTTTTATTTGTTTTTGAGAGAGAGAGAGAGAGAGAGAGAGAGAGAGAGAGAGAGAAGAGGAGGGCAGAGAGAGAGAGAGGGAGAGGGAGAATCCTAAGCCCAGCTATTAGCTCAGAGTCCATTGCAGGACTCGATCCCACAAACTGAGATCGTGACCTGAGCTGAAGTCATAAGTCAGATGCTTAACCAACTGAGCCACCTAAGTGCTCCAAGAATGGTCTTTTTGATGAAGAGTTTTGAATCAGCTGCATAGCTGTATGGCAGGGGTGGGGGTGGGTGGGTAGTGACTTCTTCATCATGCCTTATTAAAACCAATTATTTCCAGATAGATTTTTTTTAGAGTTTAGACATAAATGCGAAAGGAAAAACAAAGGTAAAGATAACATAAGAGAATATCTTCATAATTTGATAGAAAAAAATTTTTAAATAAAACTTAATAGCATTAATCCTAAATTTATTAAACTACTCCAAAATTAAGTTCAGTACTTTTTATCAAAAAACACCATGTGAGAGAGTGAAAAAGCAAGCTATGGAGTAGAACTATTTACACCAACTATAACATCATCTAAAAATAATAAAGCACACCTGGGTGGCTGAGTTGGTTAAGCATCTGACTTTGGCTCATGTCATGATCTCATGATTCATGGGTTCAAGCCCTTCATTGGGCTTAGTGCTGACAGTGCGGAGCCTGCTTGGGATTCTCTCTCTCCCCCTCTCTCTCTGCCCCTTACCAACTCGTGATTTCTCTCTTGCTCTCAAAATAAATAAACTTATATATATATGTCTCCTGTCAATTAATAATAAGAAGAGACACAGCCCAGCATGTTCAAGGGGTTTGAACAAATACTTCACAAAAGAATCTCAAAGATCAATAAACATGTGAAAGGTCATTGGCAACCATCAAGTCTCTGCATAAGAAAACAGAAGTCACATTATGTATTTTAGGTATGAAGGGCTTTAGTATAGAGAATAAGAAACTTCTACAAACATGTAAATATCTGGGGAGTAAAGCTCAGAGAAGCTCCCATCATGTATCTCTTGGGCTGCATTAGTAAAGCAAGTGGTTTCTGAGAACCAAGGAAGAGACTGCTGACAATACATATCTGTCTATCAGGTTGGCTACAACCCCCTCTAGAGAATATGTCCTCTCCTTCCCTTCTTAGTACTGCCTCTCAGTGTCAGACTTAAATCCAGAATCAAACAGACAGAATATTCTTGGAAATGGAATCTCTGGCTTCTCTGGGATGCAGATAATATCTTGGTAGTGATGCCTCATTGACAACAGATAATTTAGAACAATGTCCAACATCATTCCCTCCAAATCAGGAAAATAAAAATTAAATCTGCAAATAGGTTCATGACACACCAGATGGCTAGATATGAAAAGACTTGCAATTCTATGTGTTGGCAAGTATGTGGAATAACAGCAATTTTCATACATTGTAGGCAGAAGTATAAGTTGGTATAACCACTTTGGAAAACCATTTGGCATTGTTTATGAAGTTGAGCATATGCATATCATATGACTTGCTCTACTCCTAAGCAGAATGAGTTTTCACACACAAAAAATGTGAAAACATGTACAAAGGGCCATATCCAATAATATCTACAAGTGTATTTATAGTGGACCAAAACTGGAAACTGTTTCATTCTTTACAAATAGTAGCATGGCTAAATGATGGTCCCCTCAAACACATACTATAGAATGCTCTGTCTAGTAAAATAAAACATACCTACAGCAAGAAGGTGAATTTCACAAATATTATGTTGCTTTATGTTGCTATGAAATGTTACGTTGTCTGAAAGAAATCAGAGAAGTACATACACTATTATTTTATTCATCTAATGTTTGAAAGCAGGCCAGGATAAACTATCATGTTAGGAGTCAAGATACGGGTCATCCTTTCCGAGGAGCAAGGAGTAGTAATCAAAACAAGGAGGAAGGGTAAGTCTGGTTACTGAAAATCATCTGTTTTGGGGGGAATTATTCACATGGTAATAAATTAATGAGTTGTACAATGCTATTTCAATTGTTCTTCATGCCTTATATGTTATAATAAAGATAAAAAACAAAAGCAAAAAAAATGCAAGCAAATCAACAAACAAAACATAAAAATTAGAAAAAAGCCTCCCCAGTAGAAGGATACAATTTACTATCACTTTTCAAAGTGTAATAAAAAGAAACAAAATGCTCTCCCATGACTCAGTCCAGTTTCTAAACTTACATCACCACCCCTCAAGTGTGCTGTCCGAAGTCTCAGAAAACTGAGAATTTTTCCTTATACTCTACAATTTGAAGAGAAGTGGAGTCAGGAGGAAAGTACGCAGCCTAGAGGAAAACCAATGAAAAACACTGAGGTGCAGGAACTCATACTTACCGTTGCCATGTACTAGAAGAAACAGAAATGTCACCCGGGCTCAGCATTCCTAGGGCTTCATTCTGCATTTGAGAAAAGGAAAACGGAAAAAATCCAATTAATGACCTAAGGAAAAACTTAAGATCTTGAAAACAAAAGTAAGACAAATAGGCTTCTGAATGGTAATTGTGGTTGTTGTTGTTGTTTTTTTTAAGTAGAAAATCTCTAAAATAAAATATAGTTGAAGATATAAACAATTATTTGATATAAGAGCTGAATTCTTTCATTGAAATTTTATACAAAAGATGGAAATATCAAGATGTGTCTAAGTTTGAACCTCAAAGATAAATAATTTTTCAGGCTTGAAAGTGGAAAAACCGAGTCACCATCAAAAAGGAGAGACCAAGCTGCTCTCCAGTGGTAGTCATATCAGAAGGTAACAATGCTTACCAAGTCTTTAAGGAAAGAATAGCATATCCAGCAATTTTTCCACTCAATGAGGAAGGAGGTTTTAAAATCTCAAGGATGGGGTGCTTGGGTGTCTCAGTCCCTTAACCTTCTAACTCTTGTTTTCTGCTCAGGTCATGATCTCATGGTTTCATGAATTCAGGCCCCATATCAGGGATTCTCCCTCTCTCTCTCCTTCTGCCTCTCTACCACTTGTGCTGTCTCTCTCTCTCTCTCTCTCTCTCTCAAAATCAATAAATAAACTTAAAAACAATTTAAAACCTCAAGGAATCCAGCATTCATGATCCATTCCTTCTTGAAAGAAAACACAATACTGAAAGATTAAATCTAGCAGATGAAAAGATGATTGGGGAACTGGTAGCAAAAAGCAGTGTTATATCTAAAAACAGGAAACAGAAGGGAGATGTCTACAGCTTTCTGGTAAAAAATATTGTAAATCAGTAATTGTTTACCCAGGTATGAGACAAGCTTCTCAAGCAGTTCCGGAATACACGTCTTCCAAATCCTTGTGAGAAGAAAAGAATCTTACTTATTATTGAAACCTGCAGTAGGCAGGGTTCTAAGATGGCTCCCAAGGCCCCCAGCCTGTGCTATGCACACACCTGCTCCTGGTTATTCAATTAAACAGCAGAGTGGGTACTGCTGTGAAGAGCTTTGGCAGACATAATAATTAAGTTTCCAAACCAGTTGATCTTAAAATGGGGAAGTTATCCAAGTAGGCCATACCTAATCACATGAACCTCTAAAAACAGAGTATTTTCTCAAACAGATTGCAGAATAAAAAAGCCAGAGATTTGTAGGAGAAAAGAATTTGGTGCCACGTTGCTGGCTTGAAGAGGGAGGGGCCATGTGGCAAGGAAAGAAAGCGGCCTCTAGTTGCTGCTAGCGGTGTCCAGCTGGTGTTGAGCAAATAAACAGGGACCTACATCCAACAACTATACGTATATGAATCCAGTCGACAGTTAGAATGGCTTGGAGAAAGGTTCAGAGCCTCAAGATGAGGCCTCAACCTGTCTGACATCTTTATTTCAGCCTTGTGACACCCTGGGCACAGAACCCAGGCTTTTGTGCCAGACTCAATAAATGAGTTGCTTGTGCTAAGCAGCTAAGTTTGAGGTAATTTGTTACACAGTGATAGAAAACAAATACAAAATCTAACCAGACATTAAACAATTCACAATAAAGAGCTCAAGAAAGTAGAAGCAACAGTGTTGGGGTTGAACAATGGATTTGCATAAAGAGAAATTGTGTAAATAGCCATTGACAAAAACACAAAGAAATTAATAGCAATTATTCACTGATTTTTTTTTTCTTTAAACAAATATCAAGCACCTATGTGACAGGTACTGTTCTAGGTATGTATTAATAACAACAGTAAAAAAGCAGGCAAATTTCCCTCTCCTTGAGGAGTTTACATTCTGATGAGGAAGGGGAAAGAAGACCATAAACAAAATAAAGGAAACGTGTAATATGTTATTGGTGATAAGTGCTGTGGAGAAGAATAACCCAGAGATGTTAGAGAGAATGTTTGGAGGGAGGGTTAAAATTTGGATAGGGTGGCAGGAAAGGCTGCCTTGAGAATGTGGCATTGAAGGAAAGCCTGCATAATGAGAGGGCATTAGCCATGCAGGGATCTTAAGCAAAGTGATGGTAGACAGAGGAAACATCTGAGAAGAGCCATGATGCGGGTGTCCGGCCAATGGGAGGAGGCCACTGTGGCTGCAGTGAAGTAAGAGAGGAGGTGAAGTGAGTGACGGGGTGAGACTGTGCAGGACCTTGAAGGCCACTGTTAAAACTTTTAAGAGTTTCATTCAAAGAGTTGACAGGACTGTGTTGGTTCTATAAAAGGATCATTCCTGCTGCTGGGTTGAGAGGTACCTGAGGGGCACAGGGGCAAAACTGGGAGACCGTTAGGAGGCCATTATTGCAAGAGTCCAGATGAGTTGAGGCTGATGATGACATTGCTTGAGAGTGATGGTGGTGAAGGTGGGCAGATTGTGGATACGTTTAGAAGGTAGAGCCCACACAATTTGTTTGTAGCCTGGATGTGGGCTGAGGGAGAAAGAGAGGGCTCAGAAAGCATCCAAGTTTCATGGGCTGAGCAACTGTAATTCTAGAGTTGCCCTCAACCAAGATGCACAAGACAGTGGGAAGAGCAGGTTTTCAGTTTCTGGAGAATTGGGTGTTGTGAGTATGGAGTTTGGGGCGTTATTAGGAATTGAAATGCAGAATAGAGCATAAATGACATAAATCTTCATAACATGATAAAAACAAAAACAAACAAAACACACAAATATATAACGTGTTGGGGCGCCTGGGTGGCGCAGTCGGTTAAGCGTCCGACTTCAGCCAGGTCATGATCTCGCGGTCCGTGAGTTCGAGCCCCGCGTCAGGCTCTGGGCTGATGGCTCAGAGCCTGGAGCCTGCTTCCGATTCTGTGTCTCCCTCTCTCTCTCTGCCCCTCCCCCGTTCATGCTCTGTCTCTCTCTGTCCCAAAAATAAATAAAAAACGTTGACAAATATATAACGTGTTTAGTATGTGGAAAAACAGGGGGCCGGTGGTAGAAGAAATTATTTGAATGTTCACTTCCTCATCTTTAAAAAAATTTTTTTAAGTTTATTTTTGAGAGAGAGAGAGTGAGCAGGGGAGAGGCAGAGAGAGAGGGAGAGAGAGAACCCAAGCAGGCTCCCCACCATCAGTGCAGAGCCCAATTTGTGGCTCCAACTCACGAACTGTGAGATCATGACCTAAGCCGAAATCGAGAGTCAGACCTTTAACCAAATGAGCCACCCGGGTGCCCCATCTCCTCATTAAATAAGCACTCACTTGAGGTCTGGGTGGTTCAGTCAGTTAAGCATCCTCTCTCTCTCTCTCTCTCCTTCTTTCAAAAATAAATAAATAAACATTTAAAAATATAAATAAATAAAAATGATAGAATACCTGTTAAGTTTTCATGACCATTTAAAATCTAGTTTAGGGGCGCCTGGGTGGTGCAGTCAGTTAAGCGTCCGACTTCAGCCAGGTCACGATCTCGCGGTCCGTGAGTTCCAGCCCCGCGTCGGGCTCTGGGCTGATGGCTCAGAGCCTGGAGCCTGTTTCCGATTCTGTGTCTCCCTCTCTCTCTGCCCCTCCCCCGTTCATGCTCTGTCTCTCTCTGTCCCAAAAATAAATAAACGTTGAAAAAAAAATTTAAAAAATAAATAAATAAATAAAATCTAGTTTAGAAAGATATTTTAGGTCATGGTATCTCTTTTGACAAATTACCAAAGCTTCAACAATCCATTTAGTTTCTCTCTTTTATTTTTTTTTTCAATACAGCTTTTTAAAAAGTTCAAATAAAACAGCCTGTAATAATTCTGAAAAAAATAGAAGCAAGTACAGCTCCATATTAATATTATTATTTTGGTCTCAGTTGAGATGTCTATACTGCCATGCTTATGTATGAATCAAGAAATGTCTGGAATTAAGGTCACCGAAATTTAATAATAATTATTTCTAGGTAATGGAACAGTTCTTTTAAACTTAATTTTTTTTTAATATTTAGTTATTTTTGAGAGAGAGGGAGAGAACAGGGGAGAGGCAGAGAGAGAGGGAGACCCAGAATCCCAAGTAGGTTCCAGGCTCCACGCTGTCAGCACAGAGCCTGATGCAGGGCTCAAACTCATGAGCTGTGAGATTGTGACCTGAACTGAAGTTGGGCACTTAACCAACTGAGCCACCCAGGAGCCCCTAAAGGTTTTCTAATACTGAATGGCTTGGATATTCTTAAACATGCAAATTTTATGATCAAATAAATATATGTCAGTTACTATATTTAAGGGTAACAAAATACAAATTTTGCAAATGTTTTCTATTTATTTTACATTAACAAAAAATTGCATAATAGTAAGCAAATGTCTGAAAGTACCTCTGGGAAACTCTTCTCCCAAGCTGACTCATGACTAGGCATGCCTATACTCACCATGGTCAATGGTGGTAATGCTATAAACACCTCTAAGATGATTAACATATTATTTTGTTTGAGAATATAAGAAGTAAATATAATCAGTTTTATAGACTGGTAGTTTATCTAGTTAAATAATGAGACTGGATTATTCATAAGCAGAATGTTTGATACCAAAAAACATTCACAGCTCAGACATAAAATGACCAGCTAGTCCATTTTGGGATAATTTAATGCAGTGTCTTTATTCATTCTGACTTAGAGGAGTGGAGTTGCTTCAGTTAGTTTCATTGTTTCCCCTTTTTTATAATTAGCAAATAATTAGTGGCCCTTTGACTATTTTAATATGTGGTCTACAGCTTAGGGCTATGATGTCTAACACAGTAGCCCTGAGTCACATAAGACTAATTAAATATAAATTTATTAAAGTTAAACAAAACTTGGGGCACCTGGGTGACTCAGTTAGTTGAGCACCAGTCTTGATTTTGGCTCAGGTCATGATCCCATAGTCATGGTCTCGAGCCCAGGGTCATGAGATCGAGCCCCATGTCAGTCTCCATGCTGAGCTTGGAGCCTGCTTAAGGTTCTCCTTCTCCCTCCCTTTGTCCTTCTCCCCAGCTTGCGCTTTTTCTCTATCTCTCAAAAAAAAAAAAAAAAGAAAAGAAAAGAAAAGAAAAGAAAA